ACTACAGTTTGTGGACTTCCTGATAGTAAAGAATTACAATAGTCCAGCCTTGAAGTAACAAATGCATGGACTAGTTTCTCAGCATCTTTTTCCTAATTTCCAACTCAACATGCTCTCATTGTTTGAAAAGTAAAACTGCCTTTATACTTGAATTGAATAACATTTCTAAAGCCTAATATGCTTTATCCTGCAGGCAGCTGTGTGTAGTTTCAGGAGAAAGAGCCAAGGTGGAAAAGTACAGCAGTGTAGGTCTGGATGGAGCTCTGGTCATCTGGGATTTTAAGGTAAACATGTTCAACACTGTCTACAAATTTTGTTTTGTTTGGGTAAACTTGCACCAATTAATTATTTATTATCACATAAAATAACAACACTGACATTAAACTGGAGTAGACAAACATTATTAGTATTTGTAGAACAATTATTAACAAAGTTATAACAAAAGTGAATATTTTTTTTCTTACTGTTTTTTATAGGCTTTTTTGTACTTTTTGTTGCCATTAATATTATTCTTATTAAGGATGCCACTAATAATAATCATTGTTATTAATTTGTGGTCTGAGAGGAGTCTTATCAGTGAAATCTTTTGACTTATTTTCTTCTCTGTCTTGCAGCACTGAATCGAAACACCTCTGATTATTTCTGAATCAGATATATCCCTGCTAAAAGCCCTCTGCATGTTCTTTGCTTTTGCTTTGAGGAAATGGAAAAACTGTATTTTTTAAAGACAGCTGCTTTTTGTGTACTAAAAGACCAATAAATAAAGATTTCTTATTTTGTATTGTATGTTCATTATATACACAGATTATTTTCTTCAGAGCTGCATACTGTGTGTTTAACTTGATATTATTTTATTGAATTCATGTTATTTATATAGCACTGATTCATATACAGAATGAATTGTGTCATATATCTTTTTGCAAAACGTAATAAACCGTAATAAAACCGAGAGAAATCAAATTAGAGTTGTTAGGATACCAACATTTTGGTATCGTAGCAGTAGAAGCATATATTTCAATACTTTTTTTCAAATAAGAGAAAACGAAAGATTTTACTACTGAAGTCCTTTTGATGAAATAAATGTTGGAAGTTTCATGTTTGGTTTCAGGTTCCTAACCCACATGCAGAACACTCAAGAGACTGGGAAAAAGTTCAAAGGTTTATCAAAGAATTTGCACAATAAACAGGTCAGGGGGTTATCAGATCCAGGACTGGTCACTGGGTCCACCAGACCCAGACCCACCAGAGGGGGACAGAGGAGTTAGCAAATGTCCAGGTAATTTGCAGGATGTGAAGGTACAGGTCTGTACCTGTTCTGGAGTTTGAGCAGAGCGGCGGAGAGGGGGAACCAGGAGGGTCCAGAGGCTGTCGGTAGGCTGAGGGCTTGGCGGAGGCAGAGCTTAGTTTAAGAGTTTGCAGACAACAGGTTTGAGTTTCCCTTTCTGATTCTTCAGAGAGCGGGCAGGCTGGTCTTTGACAGGTTTGATTCTCCAGGGTTCTTCAGAGATCAGACTGACAGGTTTCCAACAGAGAAACTCTTCCAGGTTTCATGTTTCAGGCAGGTTCAACCTGGGAAGCAGAGAGGACAAAACAGATTAGGTTCAGGTTTTCTGGGAGTCAGAGATTCAGAACGGCAGGTTGGCTCAGGCTTGCTAACTATAACTGGCAAACACTCTGGCGCCAGGGTGATGTCCTCTGCCTCCTTATATACTGGTCTCCTGATGAGCAAACGAGCAGGTGGTGCAATCAGCTCCAGCTCCACACGTTCAGGAGGCCGACCGTTGGGCCAGAAGCGAGGAGGAGTCTCTGGAGGTCGGCCGCTGGGCCAGGGATGAGGCAGAATCTTTTCAGACCGGCCGCAGG